CTCTCTATTGCATTATTTTCATGAGGTTCAAAGTCAAAATTTGGAAGTTGTTTAAAAAAATAAATTGGCTTGGATTTTATGGTCAGCAGCTAACTTATGGCACTCACCATTCATTTAACTTGCTGTGTGTTTGTATAATGAAATATGCAGTGATTTGAAGGTTGAAGCTACAGCTCATGTTCTACAAGGGATCTGTGTCCCATGAACATGGCAAGCAATGGTGTGACTCTTCAACTAATTAGATTGAAAAGTTGGCACTTTAGCACACAGGCTGAACCAGGAAGTTTAATTTAAAATGATTAATACAATACCAGTTCATGCACAGAAAGGGAAGTGGTGAAAGATGGAATTGACAGACATCGAAAAATTAAAAGAAAATCTTTCATTTTTTTTAAACATATGAAACAGAAATTCAAATCTGAAGGAATGAAATGCTGTGCTTATTAAAGTTAATTTTCAGTGCCAAAGAGATCATTTATCATGCCAGTTAAAACATTAACCTACACTGGATTAGGCGAACCACCAAGTTATTGTGGCATGTTTTGTGGGTATCTTTCTGACAAGCAATGTTCCTTTTAAGGTTGTGCGGCAACCTGAAAGTTCCCAAGCAGGCATGAAATTTGTTTCATTTTTATGGCCTGTTTCTACAAATTATATTAGAATTTCCAAATTTGTATTGCATGTTATCCTGCATCAGTCATCTGAGATTGGGACCCAGTCATGGCCATGCGATGTCCCTCTCACTTCCCACACTTCTCAATAGCTGCACTTTCAAAGGCAAAAAAAAATCCCTGAAACCAAAAGTAACCCTTGAGAAAATTTCAAGAAGAATCCTAGAGAAGAAGAATATTTCTATCCCTGACTGTAACAAAGCTTGTGGAGGAGCAAACCAACTTGGATAACACCTTTCTTGTTATGACATTTAAATATTTGAGAGTTCGGAGGAAGTTGTTTTCAGTTTACTCTATAATAGCAGTCAGTGTTCATAACCTGATGATGACTTCTACTACAAAACTCAGACTGTTAGGTTTAACCAATAGGAAACTTACAGTTGCAATTTCATTGTTACAGCAGCTTGTACTAGCCTGATATAGGAACAGGGGAAGGCTTTTCAATGTCTCAAGCCTGCTATACCATTGTTGAATCATCTTTATCTTAGACTCCATTTATCCTTCCTGGTTGTGTAAGCTTTAATAACCTTTTCTAACAATCAATTTTCAGTTTTAAAATTTTCACAGCACCAGCCTCAGCTGATGATAGAGTTGCAGATTTCCACTATCCTTTGTGTGAAGTGCCCCTGTCAAATAAACAGGTTTTTAATTTTCAGTGGGTTGAAGGGTTACGGGTGCAGGCAGGAAAGTAACTCCAATGTTATTATTCAAAAGGGAGGGACACAGAAAAATGTGTAAGTATAGGCCAATTAGGAAAACTGAATGGCCTGAAGGTGGATAAATCACCTGGACCAGATGGACTACACCCCAGAGTTCTTAAGGAGATAGCTATAGAGATAGTGGAGGCATTTGTGGTGATCTTTCAGGAATGGCTAGAGTCAGGGAGGGTCGCAGAGGACTGGAAAATCACTAATGTGACACCTCTGCTTAAAAAGGGAGAAAGGCAAAAGATGAAAAATTACAGGCCGATTAGCCTAACCTTGGTCTTGGGCAAGATTTTAGAGTCCATTGTGAACGATGAGATTTCTGAATAGTAAAATAGGGCAAAGTCAGCATAGCTTCATCAAGGGGAGGTCACGCCTGACAAATCTGTTAGAATTCTTTGAGGAAAAAAGGAACAAGTTAGACCAAGGAGAGCCGATGGATGTTATCTATGTGGACTTCAAGAAGGCTTTTGACAAGGTGCCGCACAGGAGGCTGCTGAGTAAGTTAAGGGCCCATGATGTTAGAGGCAAGGTACTATCATGGATGGAAGATTGCTTGTCTGGCAGAAAGCAGAGAGTGGAGTTAAAAGGGTCTTTCTCAGAATGGCAGCCGGTGACAAGTGGTGTTCTGCAAGGGTCAGTTTTGGGAACCACAACTTTTTCACTTTGTACATTAATGATCTAGATGAAGGAACTGAGGGCATTCTGGCTAAGTTTGCAGATGATACAAAGGTAGGTAGAGGGACAGGTAGTATTGAAAAGGCAGGGAGGTTGCAGAACGGTTTGGACAGGTTAAGAGTGGGCAAAGAAGTGGCAGATGGAGTACAGTGTGGGTAAGTATGAGGTCATGCACTTTGGTAAGAAGAATAGAAGCACAGACTATTTTCTAAATGGGGAGAAAATTCAGAAATCCTGAAGTGCATAGAGACCTGGGAGTTCTAGTCCATGATTCTCTCAAGGTAAACTTGCAGGTTGAGTCAGTAGTTAGGAATGCAAATGCAGCTTGGCATTTATTTTGAGAGGACTTGAATATTAAAGCAGGGACGTACTTCTGATGCTCTATAAGGCTCTGGTCAGGCCACATTTGGAGTATTGTGTGCGGTTTTGGCCCCCATATCTCAGTAAGGATGTACAGGGCCTGGAGCAGGTTCAGAAAGGTTCACGAGAATAGTCCCAGGAATGAAAAGCTTAACATGTGAGGAACGTTTGAGGACTCTGGGTCTATACTCGGAGTTTAGAAGGATGAGGGGGATTCTAATTGAAACTTACATACTACTGAATTGCCTGGACAGAGTGGATGTTGGGAAGATGTTTCAATTGGTAATTGGTAAGAGACACTAGGACCCGAGGGCACAGCCTTAGAGTAAAGGGAAGACCTTTTAGATCAGGGATAAGGAGAAACGTCTTCAGGCTAAGTGTGGTAAACCTAAGGAATTCACTGCCACCGAAGGCTGTGGAGTCGAGGTCATTGAGTATATTTGACACGGAGTCAGACAGGTTCTTGACAAGGAGAGAATGGGGTTGAAACTTATTAGCCATGATTGAATGGCAGAGCAAACTCAATGGGCTGAATGGCAGAATTTCTGCTGCTATGTCTTGTCTTATGGTCTCGGCTTAACATCTGCCATTGGGAATAGCTTAAGAGTCTATAAAAAGTGAAATAGCAGAGCATTTAGAAATACATAATGTAATCAAGAAAAGTCAGCATGGTTTCATAAAGGGGAAATCGTGCCTGACAAATTTATTGAATTCTTTGCAAAAAAGTAACAAGCAGAATAAATAAACGGGAAACAGTGGATGTAATATATGTGGATTTCCAAAAGGGATTTGAGATACCACATGCAGCGCTATTTCATAAGAGCCCGTCGTGTTGGGTATATAGAATAGATTAGAATAGCAATTTATTGTTGATTTATATTATGTATTTATATGTATTATAATAAAGTATGTGGATAGAGAATTAGCTAACTAATGGAAGGCAGAATTGCGATAAGGGGAGCATTTTCAAGATGGCAACCTGTAACTGGTGGAGTGCTATGCTGATCAGTGCTGAACTGCAATCTTTTGCAATTTCTATGAATAATTTGGATGAGGGAAGTGATTGTACTATCACCTGGTTTGTCAACTTCTCAAAACCAGGTAGGAAGGGATGATAACCTGCACATATGGTTCAAAATGAATGGGTGGGGTGTTGGGAGAAGAAAGAAGCTTTGCAAATGAAATATAATGTAGGAAAATGTGGTTGTGCATTTTGGCAGAATTGAGGAGCTGAATATTATTCAAATAGGAAAACCAGCAGAGGCATTTTGGCATCCTCTTGGCTGAATCCTTGTTTTGAAGTTCAGCAGAAATAGCAAGAGCAAATAAAATGTTGGCATTTATATCAAAGGGAATGGAGTATAAAAATAGGGAAGTCTTGCTAAAACTATACAAGGGATAACAAGGTGTAGAGCTGGATGAACACAGCAGGCCAAGCAGCATCAGAGGAGCAGAAAGGCTGCCATTTCGGGCCTAGACCCTTCTTCAGAAAAAAGAAGGATCTAGGCCCGAACTGTCAGCCTTCCTGCTCCTCTGATACTGCTGGGCCTGCTGTGTTCATCCAGCTCTACACCTTATTATCTCAAATTCTCCAGCATCTGTAGTTCCTACTATCTTTTAAAACTATACAAGGCATTGGTTAGGCATCTAGAATACCACAAACTGTTTTGCTCCCCTCAAACAGGGGCATTGGAGGCAGTCCAGAGAAGGTTCACTGGGTTGGTCCGGGGCATTGAGGGATTTTCTTAAAGGTTGAGTCTGTAAAGATTGGGTCTGTATTCATCAACGTTTAGAAGAACACAAGGACATTTAGCAGGCTTGACAGGATGAACGTTGAGAGATTGATCCTACACTCTCCCAAAATGGGAAACAAAGGGTATAATTTCATAGTAAGGGTTGCTCATTTAAGACATGAGGAAGAATTTATTCTCTTAAAGGATAGTAAATCTGTGGAATTATTTAGAGCAGAGGACAATAATGGCTTGGCCTTTATAGTCAAGGCTTTTATCAGTAAGGGAAAAGACAGGAAAGTGCAGCTGAGGACTATTAGGTCAGCAATGACCTCACTGAATGGCAGAGTACACGCACAGTACTGTGCGTGAGTCAATCTGCATGTCTATTTGTACGCAAGTCAGAGCACACTGCAAGACAATATTAGAAGCTGTTCGTACATTCCAACATACAGTAAATGTTTTTTAAATTTATACCACTATAGGATCACATTCATAAGGCAAATGGTTGTAAAGCAGGGACCTGAACGTTACATATTATGTGCCAGCCTGTTTGTACAATGGAAACATTGAAAAACATGGTTTTAAATCTAAGTTTAAAACTAGAAAAATTTCTACCAAACAATACTGCCTTGAATAAAATCTGTGCGTCTGTGGTTTATGACTTAAGCAACTCGAATGGAAGTCAGATTTTAATGAATGGTTCTGAGAAACTGTAATAAGCAGCCCTCCACTGGACTTTACCTGACAGCCATGTTTTTTCACTTCAAACCTGTTCACTTTTCTCTTGCTCAACCTAGAAGAATAATTTCACCAAGAATAAATTGTGCTCATTTTTGCAAAATCAGAAAAAGTTGAACTTTTTAGGTATTTATTTTATTCAGCTTTCACAAAATACAAATTGCAAGATCTCAGATGAATAAAAGGAAATATAATTGCATTACATGCAGTAAAAGGGCTAAACCAGACAATGGTACAATGTGATCTGTAGACATTCACACAGAAGTACTACATCTCTTGCGCCACCCCCCCCCCCTCCCCCCACACCACCCTCACCTGAAGCTTGGTTACCCTCAAGTTAAACTACCACCAGTCCCCTGTCTCAGAGAGCAGTCCTATGATCTGGTAGAACTGTGGCAAAATAATCTTTGCACGGTCAATCATTGTAATATGTAAAGGTATACTTTTGCTAGCTCTAGTTTAGAGAGGTAGATTTTCCAGTATTTGTTCTTCAAAAAAGTTAGCACTGTAAAACATAAAACATTATCTTGCCAAAGCTGAGGAAAGCATTCTCTTCTACCCCTTTCCCCATCTCCTATTGTGGATAAACATGTAAAATACACCACCAGTCATAATTAGGACAAGGCATTTAGATGGTCACATCCGCCACTGCAGTATTCAGTTTGTAAATCTTGCCGTTAGCCTGTTGCTGGTGTAAATTCAAAATCACATCATTTCGAGCACCAGTGGAAGTAATGCTGCCTTGTTTTTACTACACTAAACAGACGAACCAAGTCTCTGTCCGGCTAAGGGAAAAAAAAGTGTTGAGTAAACCTTCACACCAGCAGAGAGGATAGCAGTGCAGGAGTCGTTATTGCATAGTTTAGGAGACTGCGTTTCAAATTGCACCCAGAATTATTGGAAATGTTGAGAATCTGTTGTAGTGCAAGGCTGTGACAACAAAACTTGCTGGCCAACAATGGATCCACTAGCAAACAGAGACCCACTACCAGAAAGTGCCCCAGAGTTTGAGACCACAGCACCAAAGTGCAGAATACAAACTGCACACTTTAACAGCAGCAAAGACAAATTGGCATACCAACGATGCAGTGACTTCAGCAGCCTGCTGTCTCTTTGCTCCCAAAAGCTAGGCTTTTGCTGTTTCAGAGGCTGCTGATCGAAGCGGCCCAATTCTCCTACATTGCTTTTGAAGCATGCTGGAATGAAAGCCAGGATGCCGCCTGGCATGCTTGGTCAAATGATCACTCCTCATGAAGCATTTCTCACACATGGGGCACTTGAACCTTTTCTCCCCGGTGTGAGTTCTGTAATGTCGTGTGAGTTCGTCAGAACGGGAAAACCTTTTGCTGCAGTCAGGCCATGTGCAAGGAAAGGGTCTTTCCCCTGTAAAGTGCAAAGAGAATGTTTTTAAAACAGATCCATCACTGCACAGGATTTCTTTTTCTACTAAGTTATGATTTTGGGCCTCCTCTGGATACTTTCCCTGGTTCGATTACACCAGTTCATAGAAGAAGTTATCCCACACAGCACTAACTTACTTGCAATCTTGGGATAGTTACGAATATGAAACTAAGACAAATCTTAACAGCAGGCTTTGTTCCAATTGTTAAGCTACTTGACTTCATACAGATGAAACTTACATGAATTTATATAGCATCTTTAATGTTGCAAAATGTCTGAAAGCACTTCACAGAAACATTATTTTGCACAACTTCATATTAAGTGACAAGTGACCAAAAGCTTTGACAAAAAAAAATTGTTTTTTAAGTGAGCCTAAAAGCTGGAGTGAGGCACTGAAGATATTTCACAACTTCGGGTACAGAAGCTGAAGACACAGTTGTCAATAATGGGGCAGTTAAAAGTAGGGAATTATAAAAAGCAAAATTGGACTCGTGCAATATTCTTGTTAGGGTGTAAAGCTAGACGAGAAATAAGTAGAGAGGAGTAATAAGGCTGCGGATGGGATTTGAAAACAAGGTTTAGAACTACAAATAGGGCAGTTCCATTTGGAGAATCAATGCAAGTCCATGAGTGCAGAGAGTAATTGGTGAGGGATCTGGTAAGAGTTAGGATACAGGCAGCACCTTCTTATAATTCCTCTGGAGCTGCTCCTAGTGCTCTGGCTTTCTGTTCCGAGCTTCGTACATCAACATGGCATAGAAAATCCTTCAAGGACATCTTCAAAGCCTCCCTCAAAAATTGTTGTATCCGCACCGACACCTGGGTGCATCTTCCCTAAGACCACCCAGAATTGGAGAAACATCCACAAAGTTGTCAAATCTGTAACCACTTCAAACTGCCTCGAGGAACCAAAGTCAAAAGTGGACATGTTCTTTTAGACCTGGCCTGACTTTTCCTATTTCTGAGCAGAAACAGTGAGGCAGCAGAGAAAAGATAGTGTAGATAATAAAGACCCAAAAGTCATATGGTATACTATAAATAATGCTGAGGGCTTCTTTGGCAGAGGACAAGTGAAATAAATTAGACATGGAACAGGCGATGTAAAGGCTCAAAAAGGTAATTTTCAGAATATCATGTAGTTGTAAAATGCAATGAAAGAAAGTGAATCCAATTATAAAGCTATTGTCACTGTTTAAACTCCTACAATAACCCCATCCCTCTTGATCAACAACCTTGTATAGCTCAACAATCCTCAGACGTTTCCATGTCTCCAGTCCTGGAACACTGTTTAATTACATGTGATAAGCTCTAGAATTCCCTTGCTCATTCTCTCTGCCAATACTATAAAATGTCTGAATAGGATGGGTGCGCCTTTTGGAATTCTTTTCAACCTCCTAGTTAGAGTATTATTTTTTTCTTACGCAGTCCCTCAGGACTGAGGATGACTTTCTTTCGCTTCAGTGTGGAGTGTCTGGAAGTGACAATTAGTCCAAAGCTGAACCTGCACACAGGATTACAGCAGGTCTTTGAAGAAGTGGGCAGGTGGGATGTTTATGTTTTCATACATTTCTGTTTGAGCTTGGCATCCACCTGAAGATGCTGGTGTGCATAGTCTGATGGTAGGTCTAAGTAGAAGACAGGACATCAACCATGTACTTTACAGGGAGGCTTTGATCAGAGCGATTCCACTGCCTGGGATTGTCCCCTCTTATGCAATCTTCCTTTTTAATGGACTTAGCAAAAGACTTGATCCAAACATACAAACAAGATGGAAGGGAGAGGGCAAACCTTGACTTACTTCCAAATTGATTGGAATCTATTTCTATCCATTCATCAAAACTGTACTGCTGATGTTTGTAAACTTGGATCTAAATTGGATCCAGGCCCCATTCTGGAGAACTCATTGATTCTTTGTAGCTGAGCACTGGTCTATCAAGTGCCTTCTCCTGGTCCAAACTTAAGGTAACTCCATACTGTGTCCTGCATGTAGCAGCGCCAAGCTCACTGTGATCTTCCTGTTGGGTACAGAGCAGGTCTGGTCATAACAGACCACCAGATCCAAAGCAGACTTGACCTTGAATGGAATTTTGTAGTCCATGTTAGGCAACGAAATGGTTCACCCATTTCTGATTTGCTCCCTCTCTCCGATTATAACATTCATTGCAAGTTAGCCAGCAACAGGAGACTACTCAATAATCATAGATTTAATTAGTTCTTTGCTACACATCTGTATCTGCTGGTAAGTGCCACAAGAGGGCTGGAGGACAACACTTCTGATCTCTGAACAAAGGTAGGTCTGACTCTCAGTGTCATAATCTCCACAGATGGGGCAGAGAGAAGTCCCAAATCCTGCCCGATCTGGAACAGGAATAAAAAACCTGCCGCTCAAATCTGATCCAACATGGCTAACCACCCCTCCCGCTCCAGCTTCCCCAACTAGGAGTTGGAGTTGTTGTAGTAACATACACTTTTCAATATCTACAGCTTCAGATAAGTTGCAATGATGGTAGAGGTTCCAGTGATCTTTCTGTCTCAGCACTGACCAGGAATCTCTCCTGCTGTTGATGCCTGACATGAGAACGTGTTGGAAGGATTTTCAGGTTGGATTGATACTTGACCTGTTCGGTCACATTAAGTACAGATCTTCTTCGGCAATGAACTCCTAGAGATCGACTTCAACCTGGAGCTTCTGGCTCAGAGGGAAGGATAAAGAACAATACAGCACCAGAAAGGAATTTGGCCCACCAAAACACGTCAGCACAGGCTTGGAGGGCCGAAGGGCCTGTTCCTGCGCTATTTTGTTCTTTATCCTTCCATCTGAACCTGAAGCTCCAGGTTGAAGTCCCCCTCTAGAAATTTACCCATTTCACCACAAGACCTCAGGATAACAGGGCAAGCCTATTTTGAGGTGTCTATTTGTATGGAGGAACAAGATATTTTCAATATCTAAACTGTAGACAATCCCATGGAACTAATGGTACAGAAATGAATAACTGATAGGCTGTGTGAGAGGAAAAGTCAACACCCACATCCTCAATTGAGAGATTACACCCAGACACGATCTCCCGCAGTAACATATGGCGTCTGCGAGTTCAATTTTAAACTTAACTCTTGCAATGCCTACGTTATCTGTAATAATATCACATGTGGCAGAATATAAATAAGCAGTAGCTTTCCATACTGGCAAAGGATTAAGGCTCTTGTGGTGCAGTGACAATGTCCCTGTCTCTGAGCCAGGAGGCCTGGTTCAAGTCCCACCTGTTCCAGAGGTGTGTAATAACATTTCTTAAAAGGCTGATTAGAAAATATTTGAGTATTTCGCAAAAGAACAGAATCAAGGAGAAGTGACTGCTTCTGTGTGTTTGTTAGGGGTGGGGTATGGCGGCATGTGGCAGCAAATTCACTAGTAACTTTCCAAAGGGAATTGGAGTTTCGGATGCGAGAGGACACTTCAGGGCCACGGGGAGATTGAGAATTAGACTCATACTTTCAGCGAACCGGCATTAACACGATGGATTGTATTGTTTTTGACTTTTTAAAAAGAGACAAAGTAAATTATAATACTAATTTAAGTGAGAGACCAGGAACACTTACCTGTATGCGTTCTAAAGTGTGCCTTCAGGTGCGAAGACTTTCTGTACACTTTTCCACATCCAGTAAAGGGGCACTCGTGTCTCTTGCCCGAAAAGGACTTTACCTCACCCGTTACGTTGCACTCTAGCAGTCCAAACTCCGGCGCAATTCCATTGTCAAGGTGCGGCTCCCAGCGCTGGGCTCCGCCATCGAGCACGCTGCACGCATCTCCCTCGGAGTTAACGCAGCCCTCAATGTGACTGCATCCGAATTGGGAGAGCGGTTGGCGCTTGCTGAGATCGGCCAGGATCCTGGCCATGGTGGTGAGGGACCCTCCGTCCTTGCAGCCCTCCCTGGGGTCTCCCTTACTGTCTTCAGTCAACTGCTGTCCGGGAGACTGATGCACGATAGGGCGATTGGAGATGGAGACCAAGCATTCGGCGGCCAAATATTCGATATAAGCAACAGCTGACATGGTTCCACAAGCAAATTTATCAGTAAACTTCCTGCAGGTTGCTCACACCTTGCTTTGGCTTTCAACTCAACAGCAGACTTTTAGCAGACGATCTGCTTCTAGCATTAAGGACCGAAGTATTTTCCTTATACAAATATGACAACCACGTGGCGTGTATTAAAATATCAAACCACGTTTCCCAACTCCAAAGATCACACGCGGCAAAGGTTTCAATCCTTTTTTTAAAAAAAAAACCGTGTATCAGATGAACGAAACTGTAAAATTTAAAAATTAATCGCTTGCATTGGCAAAAAAGATACAAAACGGTTGAATTTTGACAAACCTATCTTTTTTGGCATCCCTAAAATGAGAGATAATAGGAAGATTTAAGTTTACCCCATTAAAAGAAAGTCTGTTTTATTTTGGTCGGTGCGCGGAACTGCTGAATTTTGAAGGCGAGATTAATCACAGACCAGGTTTAGCGTTGATGCTGGTACAGTCACACTACACCAAATCTCTGCTGCAGCTCCCCAATGTTCTTTCACAACTATAACCAATTCTTGGAATACATACCCTACACCCCGCCCCCTTCCGGTCATATCACTATATGGGGCGGGGCTCCTGATTGGACCAGCCGCCGTTCTGTTCACCGGGTTCCAAACATGTGGTGCCCGCCGCCCCACCCCCATTCAGATGGGCTGAGTGACCTGGCCATGGGCGCTCAACAGCTGACCTCCAAATTCAAGTTCATGTTGACATGTCCAAGGCAATTCCCTGCAAAAGCTACATATCGCTTTCACAGAATGTCTTTTTCCGTGCTTGGCTCCGGCTGCCTGGGCGTAACCTTAAAGGAGAAATGGCCATGCATGTTTTGTGTTACAAACACAAAGTACTGGCGAATCTCCGCAGGTCTGGCTTCTGTGGAGAAAGAAAGAGTTAACGTTTCGAGTGCAGTATGACTTCTCCGGAACTTCGTTTTTGTTGAAAACGTCTTCGGTTTCCAAGAAATGCTTGAAATGTAGAAATCAAACCTCAGGCATTGCGTTCAACTTCCTTCTACTGACTTACCCCTCACCCCCATTGTTGTAACGTCTTCCAGCACTGCAATCCTCATGCGATCTCTGCGCGTATTTCCAACATTGTCTTTTACGCATCCTCCACTTTCATCACTCGATCATGGATGACCGCGCCTTCACTTGTGTGAGGGCTCTGAGTTCCCCTCCTCTCTAAATTTCTCTACCTCGCTACCTCTATCTATTCCCCGAAGGCTTCCTTTTTTTAAAAAAAAGCACCTCTGACCAGGCTTTTCGTTACCTGTCCTAATTTCACCTCCTGCTATATTGTCTAATTGTGTCTAATATCACTCCTTTGAAAGTTTTAATACATCAAACTCATTATGTAAACACAAGTTGTTGTCGTTTCATAACATAAGTCTGCTTTTATATTCCTGAAATCCACCTAATTTGAAGTTTCACTCGAGATACAATAGTTTGAAATATATTATTATAAATACTGATAATCCCTATTTATAACAGTTGGAAAAATATTTGTAATATTGAAACAAAATATCTTCTCTTAAGGATGTCTTCAACCAAAAATTTGAAATGAAAATATGGGAAAATATAGAGAACTAAACCTTACAAGTGAGTTTATTCCCAACAACCTTTACTGCAGTGATATATTACATTTCACTCAGCAAATGAGTTTTTGTGCCAATATGAAGTTTCACATGCATGTTGTTGCCTGCAGTTATGGACATTGACCATAGAGGCACCAACATTCTTCCCATCACATGACTGACCAGGAATCTCTCCTGCTGTTACTACCCGCCATAAGCCTATGTTGGAGGAATTAAAAATTGTTAATCAATTAGACTGTGTTTTGAACATACATTCCTTGACCATCAAGTCCTGGGTGGGTCATTAACTCAGCTTCTGACATTCCTCCTGCCACTGAAATTTTCTGCACTTCTTCAACACGTCAATCAGTAGAGCAACCACGCTGCTGAAATTCAGTACGAACTTCCGATAAAAACCATTCAGTCCCAGAAATCATAGTACTTCCCTCTTAGTCAATGGTATAGCAAACTCCCCAATAACCTTTGTTTTCACGTCCCATTGGGCCATCCGCCCATACCCAATGACAAGGTCCAAGCAGGTGACTTGAGCTTTTGTGAACTCATTCTTAGCTAGGTTTATCACCAAGCCCATCTCCCGAAGTCAACTGAACAATTCCGATAGATGCTCCAAATGTTCCTTCCATGTGTGACTAAAAATCACCAGATCGTCAATGTATGCCACACAATTGGATAATCCTGAAATTACTTTATTGGTTCGTCTTTGAAATTTGGCTGGCACATTTTTCATTACAAATGGCGTGACTTTAAACTGACACAGTCCATTTGGTGTCACAGAAATTTCCTCTGTTCTTTCGGATAAAGCTACCTGCCAGTATCTTCTTCGTAAGTCCAGCTTAGAAATATGAGTTGCTTGTCCTACCTTTTCCCTACAGTATTCAAATGGAACAGGACATGAGCCAGATCTTTGTAACTGCATTGACTTTGTGATAGTCCATACATAATTGTTGGGTACCATTTGGTTTTGGCTCCATTACTATGTGTGAGCTCCATTTGCTGCAACTCACTTTGCTTATATTGTCTTTGAGCATGTGTTCAATCTCTTTTTGAACCAGAGGGTTAAGTCTATAAAGATATTGCTTAATTGGAACAGCATTTCCTATATCTACATTGTGCATAATTAAATTACTACTTCCCATCTCATTCCCACACATCTCCCCATGTGATTGTAATAACTCTTTTAGAGCATTTCAATTTTCCTCTGGAAGGTAACTCAATAATTTATGCCAATCTTTTAGAACTTCCTCAGTGCCCAATTTAATTTGAGGAATGTCCAATTCAGAATCATTTGAACTTGGTGCTTCACTCTGTGTTGTAACCAGTAACACATTCTCTTTTTGCTTTCCTTCCTTATCGAAATATCTTTTGAGTATATTCATGTGACACACTTTTACGAGATTTATATCTGGTGTTCTTATTAAATAATTCACCTCACTCAGTTTCCTTTCGATATGATAAGTACGACTAAACATTGCCTTTAAAGGTTCACCTACCACTGGAAGTAACACTAACACTTTATCTCCATTAGCAAAAGTGCATTTTTAAAATTTCTTATCTGTTCCCCGTTTTATCACATGCTGTGCTACTTTCAAATGGTGTCTCGCCAACTTAGCTGCTCTATTTAATATTTCCCTAAAATTTGACACATAGTCCAAATGCGTGGTCTCTGAACTCTGACTCACTAATTTCTCCTAAATAAATTTCAGTGATCCTCTCACCTCATGCCCAAAATTTAATTCAAATGGACTGAATTTAGTTGATTCATTAGGTGCATCGCTAATTGCAAAACGTACAAATGGAACTCCTTTTTCCCAATCCTCTGGATAGTCTTGACCATAAGCCTTCAACATGGTCTTGAAAGTTTGATGGCATGGTATCAGTGGATTTGAATTGTTTTATTCCTAAGCTATCCATAACTTCCTTGAATAATTTTGATGTAAAATTTGACCCTTGATCCAGTTGTATCTCTGTGAGTAGTCCATATCTAGTAAAAGATTTGAGTAACTCTTCTACAACCCTTTTAGCCATGATACTGCTTAAAGGAACAGTCGCTGGAAATCTCATAGACATATCCATTATGGTCAACAAATACTGACTCCCACGTTTTGTTTTAGGTAGGGGTCCTACACAATCAATTAAGACATTTGTAAAAGGTTTCTCAAATGCAGGAATGGGTATTAAAATGTGCTGGTTTTATCGCTGCCTAAGGTTTTTCAATTACCTGACATATATGACACGTCCAGCAAAACCACATCCTTATACAGACCAGGCCAATAAAAATATCTTTGTATTTTGACTTGAGTTTTCCTTACTCCCAAATGACCTCCTACTGACCTCATGTGCTACCTGTAACACTTCCTGTCTTTAACCAACTGGTATTACAACTTGAACTTCTGCCCATTTCTCATCCACTTGAATATGTGTTGGTCCTCATTTCCTCATCAAGATGTCATTTTTAAGATAGTAATATTCTGGGATACACTCACATTCTTCTTCTGTGTAGTTTTTCATCTTTCCATTGTAATTCAGCCAATTTCTCTGAACTAAAAATATGACTTTATCCTCCACCTGTTCTTGTTTTATTTCTCAAGCATTTGATCAAACATAGTTTCTGATAATTGAACTTTAACTTCCCTATCTTTATTCTTTGATTTTGCCTCCTGTTTCCACCTATGGCTTTGTGACCTTTTTACTACACAGTCAGGAAAAACCCCAGGATATACTTCCCATAACAGCCCAGTTGCTTAATTTTCCACTGACCTTTCAACCACCATAGGCATTACTCCCACCTGTGATCCAACTTTATGATTACAAGGAGAAGGAGAAACTGTATTTCTGGAACCGAAAATTTCTCTGTTACTCCTACCACCACTTTACCACTTTTCACTGGACTCTCCAATTGTTACAAAGTGGAGGTTGACCTCCCCCCTCAAGAACTAAAACCGAAATGTTCAAAGAAGAGCACCTCACCCTATAATCTGTAAAAGGAGTGTGAAAAGTTGTGTAACCTGCCTTTCAGCAACTTCTAGTGGTTAAATAAAATAAATCCCTGACATTCACTTGAAAAACAACAAGTAACAATTTATTTATCTAATTCTAACAGTGAACAAATTAACTAAACTATTAACAAACTGAATAAATCCCTTCTAACTACTAACTATTCCTGAATAAAGCAAGATTCTAATGGTATACTGTTCCAATAAATACAAGTACCACCTATATATACAGAAAAGAGTTTAGTCTCTCGAAATTGTAGCCAAGTTACATGTGTTTTGGAATGTTCTGTGCCTTCTCTGTTGATTCTTCAGTCAGGAATGTTAACTAATTGTGCCGTTGGTACAGTTGTTATTTAACTGGTGCTTTCTATAAGCCATAGAGGAGGCTGTGAGAGCCAGTGATTCTTTCTTTGAGAGCTGAGAGCTGTTAGCTCTGGCAGATGGCAGTTAGCTCTGGGGTTTTGTCCAACTGCCCCATTCTTGTATACCCTTGATGACATATCAATATTTCTTACATTAGGACTGATCCTATGTAGTCAAAACCATCAGATTTAAATTTAATAGGTTTTGGTATCTAAGTTCCTGGTTCAAATTGATTGGCTACATTCAAAAGTTTATTTTGGTAAAAACAGCTGCTTGGCCTGCTAACTGTACAGCCTTTTGATACAAATGCTTCAACTCGGGTGCTGTCTGTATACTTACAAACTTCCAAGCTGCTGCTCACAGACATCCATTTTAAATTGCTCGCATAGAAAAAGCACATCATCTTTTAAAGGGACCACACAGTGCTTTCCCCTCTAGCATTTTACAAACACCATATTCTAACTTCCTGCCTCCCAATCCATAAGTACTTTACCCAACTTCACCGCACCAACCTCACTTTACATAATGAAACACTGCTCTTCTCACCATGAATTCCACCTTTT